GTCAAGGTCTAATGAAGGTTGTCAGAGTTTTTTAATAAATATTCACCATCAGTTTGTGTAACATTATTGTTTTATTTSTTCATGTTGTTGTCTGAGGCTGATGAGCCATAAGAGGAGATCTTTGATTGGACTTTAGTTTTTTAAACATCTGAACGGTCCCAGTCTGCAGAGTGAAAGCCTCCACCATGAAGTCTGAAGTTTAAATGAGTTGACAGCTTTTTATTCTGCAGTCAAAAGGTCAAACATGAGGAGTTAATCAGCTCTCAGACACATTTTCATCTTTCACATTATTTGGACGCATTCAGGAAACAGATTGGTCCGTTTTGAGCACAATGGCTGACATCGTGCTTCTGTTTCCAATCAGATTCTTATTTCTGACACATTTGCATGGAGGCGACTCGTTGGTATCAGTCTCCGGCAGAAGAAACAGCTCATTTCCTTGGCCTGATATGAGCAGCAGCAGCAGATATGGGCTGATTGGACCGTCTGTGGGTGAAGGCTGAGTGCTGCTGCTGCTCTATTAGCTCCCATTGTGGCCAGCTAAATGGTTAGGGTGGACTGGAAGTCTGTGACTGGGAGGGGATTCTGTGGAACAACAAGAAGCTAGGGGACTGTAAGTCGTCCACTTCCTGCCACTGGCTGCGTAAAGCTCCCCGCAGCATAATGGACTCCTATCAGGACACAAATAGATGCATGTTCCAGGGTTTCTGTGGTCTGTAGCTGCAGAGTTAACTGTTTGTACAACAATACTTGTTCATTGACTTCTTTAAAGAAGGAAGATCTGTGTGGCTTCAGTCTGCCTCCATCAGGCTGGTTTTTATTGTCTGCTGCATGCTCACAACAGTTCAGCTTCAGTCCTGTCACTAACATGACAAATGTTCATATAAAACACTGCAGGAACAGTCTTAAAACACTGCTAATATTACACATATTCATTTAAAACACTGCTAATAATACACATATTCATTTAAAACACTGCTAATAATACACATATTCATTTAAAACACTACTAAAAATACAGATATTTATATAAAACACTACTAATAATATAGATAGTTATGTAAAACACTGCTAATATTACACATATTCATTTAAAACACTACTAAAAATACAGATATTTATATAAAACACTACTAATAATACAGATATTCATGTAAATTAGGGGTGTAAATCACCAGCTTTATCACGATACAATATTACAT